CGGCAGTTGCTGACAACTTGTCAAAAAGATCTAGAAGATGCAAAAGGTGATGCTGTGCAAAAGGGGAAGCGTGTGGAAGAACTCCACGGAAAGTAAGAATTTATCTTTGCTATGATTTGCAAGTAGTACTTTACACTGGAACAACTGCATTGATTGATTTGTTTTCAGAATCGAAGCAAACCTCACTGAACTTACTGCTTGCCGTGATAAAATCGCTCAGTTGGAGGAGACCGTACGCGTTAGTGCTCGTGAAATAAATGACTCGCATGCGATGAATGAGAGCAACCTTACCAAGCTTACCCAGCTTAGCGACAAACTTGAACAGGTCAGGAAATTGCGACTATTGGTTTGGTATTGTTTAGTATGAAAAGTCTATTTCATTGGCGTTTCAGATGATTGAAGAGAAGAAACGGTACGAGGTGGAAATGTCCAAATTCGAAGAGAAAAATGATGTACAATCTAATAGCATCCGAAGTGTGAGTAATCATTATTGCTTACATCATAGCGTTTATATCAACTATTGAATATGGTTTCTGTCTGCCTGTGCGAGCCCTTGCTTTTCCATTTTCGCGTAGTTGGTTGTCTTGAATTCATCAAAATTATGTTGCTAAATCAGATCAATCGCGCTTGTTATCTTTATCCGTAGTCCTTATATCTTCCAAATCATTGGATCCGTTTGTAAACTTTTGCCGTTATGACTATATTGCTGACCAAAATAAACAACTACTGAATGACATAATTTATAATTTCACTTGCAGCTAGAGTTATCGAATATGGATCTAACAAATGAACTATCTTCCTTGGGCTCTTTACTGGAGCATGAGCGACAGTTGATCAACGAGAAGGTACGATTTGGACATACCATAGTTCTACTTTTATTTTCGTATTATAAGTTACTTCTTCTGTTTTCGCAAGAGTACAATATTTATCCGATTTGTGGATTAGTGTTCCCGATCACTTGTATCGATCTGTTAAATGAGTCATGCCGTTACGAGACTGTATATCCCTCCATTTCCACAGTATCTCATGCACTTTATCACCTTTGCAATTTGCTACAGCTATTTCGATTCATGACTGTTTTTCCAGTTTTCTTCATTCACAAAAAATGTATGAAAAGCTATTGAATTATATTATCTCGGAAATTCATATACTTCTTAATCAATAGTTGTTTTTCACAGAACACCCTCATTGCATCAAAAGATCAAGAGCTCTTTTCTATGCGCGAAGAACTGGAGAAAGCACGTATCGAAAATGAACGACTTTCTGGTCAATGTGCATCGAAATCGGCTGAGATAGAGTCCATATCGAAGCAAGTGATTCTGCTCCAAGAAAGCTCGAAAGATCTTATGCAAAAGGTAAATTCCAGTCATGTACTTTAACGACATACTCACCCATCCATTCAGGTTTCTGAAGGAGAAGGAGGAGCTAAAATGGCACTGGAGCAGCTGAGCGAAGAGAAGAAGAATCTGCAAGAGAAGATTGTGCAGCTCACGAACAGTCTGAATGAGGAGGTGGGTATGGTAGATGGTAGCGCTGCACAAAATACAGTTGCAGTCTACACTAATGATTATCCTTCTCTGCCATTCTTACTATTTTGCAGAAGAGCAACTTTTTGGAGAAGACCAATGAGCAAGAGAAGGCATTCCGCGAGGAAAAGAGAGCAGCCGCGGAAAAACTGAAAAAGGTTGAAGATCAAAGGGAAGAGCTCGAAAGAAGGTTGCGCGAAGCTGAAGATGATAACAATCGGAAGGTATGCAGTGGTTAGGGAATGATGTCGAAGCTGTGATTATAATTGTATTATAGGCGGAAAGATTTGTTGAAATGGAGAAAGAGATAGATGAAGAGAGGCGGAAGTCAAATGATCGTGTAAATAAGCTCAAAGAGGTCATTCGTATGAAAGAAGCAAGTGCACTGGAATCAAGAAAACAATTTGATGAGGTGAGCTCATGTGTCATAAAAAAGTAAACAAAGTTTTTTT